ACATACCCAATATGATTTTAATCCTTCCAAATGTATTACATTTTGTTTTATGGCCCATTATTTGGTTTGTCCTATTGAATATTCCAAATGTACTTGAAGAGAATGTTTATTCTGATGCTTTTTGGTGTAGCAATCTATAAATGTCAATTATATTAAGCTCATCATTGATAGTGTTGCTGAAGTCTTCAATAGCTTTACTGCTTTTTGGCATACTTGTTTTATAAGCCAGGGGTACTATTTAATACCTTTTTTCATCTAATCTTTTTCCTTAAATTTACTCCATCTGATATTAATGTCCACTCCAATTTTCCCAATTAGTATTTATAATAGTATATATTTTCCCATTCTTTTAATTTTATTTTTTTAATTTTTGCACATATTTGTACCTGTTATTTAAAATTTTTTATTTACTTACTTTTTGAAATGTGGTCTTGATAGGTGGCCCAGGCTTGAGTGCAGTAGCTATTAACCGGCATGATCACAGTGCAATGCAGTCTCTAACTCCTGGTCTCAAATGATCCCCCTGCTTCAGCCTACCAACTAGCTGGGATTACAGGTGCATACCACCATGCCTGGCTTGTAACTGTTATTTTTAAACTCCTTATTGCTTAGTTCTATTTCAGTCATTTCTGGGTTTATTTCTTTCCTTTCTTTCTTCTTTTTCAAGAAAGTTTCGCTTGTTGCCCAGGCTGGAGTGCAATGGCACCATTTTGGCTCACTGCAACCTCCACCTCTTCTGGGTCTATTTCTATTGACTGGCTTTTCTTCTGGTTTTGGGTCACATTTTCCCACTGCTTTGTTAGAATTTTTGATTGAGTGACAAATACTCCGTATGCCACACTGCTGGGTGTCTGGATTTTGATGTCTTCCTTTAAAGAGTGTTGAGCCGGCCGGGCGCGGTGGCTCAAGCCTGTAATCCCAGCACTTTGGGAGGCCGAGACGGGCGGATCACAAGGTCAGGAGATCGAGACCATCCTGGCTAACACGGTGAAACCCCGTCTCTACTAAAAAATACAAAAAACTAGCCGGGCGAGGTGGCGGGCGTCTGTAGTCCCAGCTACTCAGGAGGCTAAGGCAGGAGAATGGCATGAACCCGGGAGGCGGAGCTTGCTGTGAGCCGAGATCCGGCCACTGCACTCCAGCCTGGGTGACAGAGCGAGACTCTGTCTCAAAAAAAAGAATTAAAAAAAAAAAAAAAAAGAGTGTTGAACCATGTTTTGGCAGGCAGTTAAGTTTGTTTTGGATCAATTTCTTTCTTTCTTTTTTTTTTTTTTTTTGAGATGGAGTCTTGCTCAGTCGCTCAGGCTGGAGTGCAGTGGCATGATCTCAGCTCCTGGGTTTGAGCGATTCTTCTGCCTCAGCCTCCCAAGCAGCTGGGATTACAGTCACATGCTACCACGCCTGGCTAATTTTTGTACTTTTAGTAGAGATGAGGTTTCACCATGTTGGCCAGGCTGGTCTCGAACTCCTGACCTCAGGTGATCTGCCCACCTCGGCCTCCCAAAGTGCTGAAATTACAGGCATGAGCCATCGTGCCCAGTCTGATTCTTAAAATAAAATAAATAAATAAATAAATAAATAAAAATATTTAATAGAGCAGGTCTAGTTTAGCCCTACTACCAAGGTGTAATCTTTCTGGAGTCTTTATTGAATGTCCCAGGTGTTCAATGAATTTTCTCCATTTTGGGTAGGTGGAACTTCATCCAACCTTATTAAGTCCTAGAAATTATTTGGCTTATAGTTTCCCAGTAATTGTTTTTTTCCTCACTAGATCTTCTTTGCCAACCTGTGTGGGGTCTCATCCTGTGCATGCAGAGTTTACTATTCAGCCAAATCTACATATGGCATTGTCTGAAAAATGCCTCAGTCACACAGTGAGGATAATCATATGGCTCACTTCATTTGTTTCTCAGTCTTGTGCTACATGTACAACATCCTAAACTGGTCTTCTAGGTTTTGTTTAGTTTTCTAGTTGTTTACAGCAGGAGGGCATTTATTATCACTGTGAGAAGCAGAAGTCTACTTGGATTTTTTTTTTTTTAAGACATAGGGTCTCACTATGTTGGCCAGGCTAGGCTCAAACTCCTGGTCTCAAGTAGTCCTCCTGCCTCAGCCTCCCAATGTGCTGGGATTACAGGTGAGAGCCACCACACCTAGCTGCTTCTTCATTATTTTTTGAGATAGGGTCTTGCTTTGTTGCCCAAGCTGGAGTGCAGTGACACATATCTCAGCTCACTACAACCTCTGGCTCCCAAGCTCCCAAGCCCAAGCAATCCTCCCACCTCAGGCTACCAAGTAGCTCGGACTACAGGCATGTACCACCATGCCTGGCTAATTTTTTGTATTTTTTGTAGAGGTGGGGTTTCGCCATGTTGCTGAGGTTGGGCTAAAGCAATTCACCCACCTCGGCCTCTCAAAGTTCTGGGATTACAGGAGTGAGCCACAGTCCCCTGCTGCTTCTTTGATTTAAAAAATTTGTGTATTTCAAGGCTAATACTGTGTTTAAAATAGTGTATTTTTAAATTCACTAAAACGTGGAAATGTGAATACTGACAACTGGTTATCTGATGATTTTAAGATATTGTTTTTAGAGCAGTGATAAAGTTAATGCACTTACGGCCAGGCGTGGTGGCTCACACCTGTAATCTCAATACTCTGGGAGGCCGAGGCAGGCAGATCACCTGAGGTCAGGAGTTCCTGACCAGCCTGGCCAATATGGTGAAAACCTGTCTCTACTAAACATACAAAAATTGGTCGGGCATGGTGGCACCCCCCTGTAATTCCAGGTACTCAGGAAGCTGGGCTGGGATCGCGCCACCGCACTCCAGCCTGGGCAACAGAGCAAGACATCATCTCAAAATAAACAAACAATAAAAGTTAATGCACTTACATGAGAGACTTTTATTGTTAAAGAGTACATACTGAAGTACAGATTAAATAATATGATGTCTAGGACTTTTCTTCAAAATAAGATAAAATGAGAGAGGATAAGTGGGTGGAGTTATTCATGAAACAAGACTGGCCGTAAACTGGTAACAGTTAAAGCTGAGTGATGGGCTCAATACACTTTTTTGTCTACTTCTGTATATGTTTCAAATTTTCACATTTAAAAAAGTCAGCAGAAGTAATTTCTGTGTGATTATAACTCCAACTTGGGTTCAAGGGGTTTTTTCTTTGAGCCAGAGTCTTGCGCTTTCGCCCAGGATGGAATACAGTAGTGTGATCTCAGCTCACTGCAACCTCTACCTCCTGGGTTCAAGCAATTATTGCGCCTCAGCCTCCCAAGTAGCTGGGATGTGCCACCATGCCTGGTTAATTTTTGCATTTTTAGTAGAGATGGGGTTTCACCGTGTTGGCCAGGCTGGCTTGAACCCCTGACCTCAAGTTATCCACCCACCTCAGCCTCCCAAGGTGCGGAGATTTTAGGCCTAAGTCACTTGCACTAGGCCGGTTCATGTGTTTTTAATTTGTAGGGATTGCTTTCATTTCTTTTTGACTTAATTTTTTGTTTGAATGATATAAAATATTTACATGGCTATTAAACGATAAAACATAATTCAGAGTTCTCCCTTTTATCCCTGTCCCTTGTGTTTTCTCACTTCCCCATATAAACAACTATTTTTACTTACTTTATTTTTGATTGGCATTTCCATTCTTTTTGAAAATAAATAAATATGGATATATATATATGTATTAAGTCTTCTGGCCCTACAAAAGGTGTATTATACAAACTCCTCTGCAGTTTCCTTTTCTTCATTTAACAACATGTCCTCAAGATCACTCCAGAGTATTATATAGAGATTTTCCTCATTACTTTTATTCAACCAGTACTTTACTGATAGACATTGGGTAGTTTCCTATCTTTTGCTATTACAAGTAATGTAGTAGCCTTGCACATATATATTATGTTTTCGCCAATGCATCTTGAGGATAAGATAGATTCTGACAAAAAATATTAATTACATGTCACTTTTCTAGATACCAAGTGGTCAAATTCTTAATCTTTATAACATAAGTACTCAAAGGAAACAAAAATTAAAAGATAATTTATCTAAAGCAAATGTAGTTCTGTTGGTATAAAGTAATGGTGGGGGAAGAGGTTAGTACATTTCATCTCTCACAGTAAAGGTTTCCAAATCAATCTATAGGAATACTTATTAGTAGAGGCCGGGCACAGTGGCTCATGCCTGTAATCCCAACACTTTGGGAGGCCGAGGTGGGCAGATCATGAGGTCAGGAGATCGAGACCATCCTGGCTAACACAGTGAAACCTCGTCTCTACTAAAAGTACAAAAAATTAGCCGGACGTGGTGGCATGTGCCTGTAGACCCAGCTACTTGGGAGGCTGAGGCAGGAGAATCGCTTTAACTCAGGAGGCAGAGGTTACAGTGAGCCAAGGTTGCACCACTGTAGTCCAGCCTGGGTGACAGAGCGAGACTTCATCTCAGAAAAAAAAAAAGAAATACTTATTAGTAGAGTTAATGAATAACTACCTTCTAGGTCTAATTTCTGGGACTGTAAGCCTCTTGAGGATGAAGAATTAAGCTTAATTTCCTTCAGATCATGACCAACAGAGACACAGCATGTTTAGTGAATCATTTTCATTTAATAACTGTTCTCAGGACTGATTATCATAAGCTGTTTAGTCCTCTGTTTAAGATTTTAATCTTTTCATAGAATTATGTTTACTGTGGCTTTTAATTGGTAGCTACTAGTATCTTGAAATATAAATAATCCCAGTAATATGTATTATTACTATCCCTACTGTATCTACATTGACGACAATTATTGAAAGTTTCACCTTAAATATCAAAGATAGAATTCCAAAACAAGTTTCTCATTCCATTTCTACTTTGATGCTGCTTTCTCTTTTAAAAATATCTTTCCTCTACAAAACCAATATAAAATTTGCTAAATATAGTTGGTGGCCTGAATTTAAAGGTAGTATCAGCCAGACATAAGGGGCTATGACTTATCCTTCTAAAACATAAAATACTTACGCGTCTGTTGTCTTTGTACACCCATTTAGATTCAGTACTTCAATGTTCCTGCAGTTTTGTGCAAAGGTTCTTTATAGGAAAGAAAGTAAGAGGTTTCAAATGAAATAAGCAAAATTCCAGTCATTAAAAAAGCAATAAAATATATTATTATTGGTAATATTGATTGTTGATAACTGTGATACTGTGATATAAAGGAAAAACATGTATTTGGTCTTCATCCTCGGTTCTTGGCATCCAGTCCCTAAAATCTTTGTAATTTCCTGAGTGATAGTATCTTTTGTTACAGGTTGGTGAAAAGTAATCGCGGTTTTTGCCATTACTGTTAATTAACAGTAACTGCCATTATTGTTAATGGCAAAAACTGTGATTACTTTTGCACAAACCTAATATAATATTTGGTCTTCAATCATGTCTGTGATCAAGGAACCTCTGTAAAAACCCCTAAATGATAGGGATCAGAGAGCTTCTGGGTTGGTGAATGTAACCACATGCCAGAAGGGTAGTATACCCCAATTCCACGGGGACAGAAGCTCCTGTGCCTGGGACCCTTCTAGACCCTGCCTTATACACCTTTTCATATTCCTTCTACCTCAGCCTCCCTAAATGCTGGGATTACAGGTGTGAGCCACTGAGCCTGGCCATGATTTTTTTTTTTTGAGATAGAATCTCTCTCTGTCGCTGAGGCTGGAGTATAGTGGTGCCATCTCAGCCCACTGCAGCCTCCACCTCCCAGGTTCAAGCGATTCTTCTGCCTCAGCCTCCTGAGTAGCTGGGATGACAGGCACGCACCACCATGCCTGACTAAGTTTTTGTATTTTTGGTAGAGACAAGGTTTCACCATGTTGGTTAGGCTGGTCTTGAACTCCTCATCTCAAGTGATCCACCTACATCAGCCTCCCAAAGTGCTAAGATTACAGGCTTGGGCCATCACACCTGGTTTAAATTAATTTTCAATTATAAATTCTTCAAACATAACTTTAAAAATTATTTTAAATCAAAAAAATAAATGATTGCTTATTTATTTATTTTTAGAGACAGGCTGGAGTACAGTGGTGCAATCACAGCTCACTGTAGCCTCAACCTCCCAGGCTCAAGTGATCCTCCTACCTCAGTCTCCCTAGTAGCTTGGTTTACAGGCATATGTCACCTAACCTGGCTAATTAAAAAAAGTTTTCTAAGTCCGGGCGCGGTGGCTCAAGCCTGTAATCCCAGCACTTTGGGAGGCCAAGACGGGCGGATCACGAGGTCAGGAGATCGAGACCATCCTGGCTAACACGGTGAAACCCCGTCTCTACTAAAAAATACAGAAAAACTAGCCGGGCAAGGTGGCGGGCGCCTGTAGTCCCAGCTACTCGGGAGGCTGAGGCAGGAGAATGGCATGAACCCGGGAGGCGGAGCTTGTATTGAGCTGAGATCCGGCCATTGCACTCCAGCCTGGGCTACAGAACGAGACTCGGCTCTGTAGAGACTCCGCCTTGCCATGCTGCCTAGATTGGTCTAATACTCCTGGCCTCAAGTGTAATCCTCCCACCTAGCCTCCCAAAGTCCTGGGGCCACTGCCCAGGTTAGGGTTAACCATAACCCTAAAAAAGAACTAGGCTGGGTGCGGTGGTTCATGCCTGTAATTCCAGCACTTTGGGAGGCTGAGGCAAGAAGACTGTTTGAGTGTAAGAGTTCGAGACCAGCCTGGACAACAAAATGAGACGCTGACTCTATAAAAAAATTTTAAAACTTAGCCAGGCGTGGTGGTACATGTCTTTAGTCACAGCTACTCAAGAGGGGGAGGATTGCTTGAGTCCAGCAGTTCAAGACTGCAGTGAGCCATGATTATGCCAGGGCACTCCAGTGAGCCATGATTATGCCAGGGCACTTCAGCCTGGGTGACAGTGTGAGACCTTGTCTCAAAATATAAAATAAAAATAATTAATTAATTAAAAAATTTATTCAAAGCTCCAAAAGAAACACTTATGATGGGGAATGTGGGATTTTTTCAGGCAGTACTTGTTCTTGTTTATTGTTAAAACTACATTTCTTATTACTGGATATTTTCAGATTATAAGCAATGTATGTGTGGTTGCATTTTTAATAACTTAGTAATTTTAAAACGATTTTAGCCTTTTCTGGGTGAGATGGTGCTGCTCTTCACTTCCATCAAGAAGATTAATCAACAGTTATGTTTTCACCTTAATGCATTGTCTCCCACTCCAAGACATCCACGAAGACTTAACTTTCGTAAAAAGCCCCCACATCGTTTTGAAATATTCTCCACTACTCGGCCCTGTAAAAATAGACAGGCAAACAAAAAGATAACCCATCTCATTACTTTAGAAAAGAACACATCCTCATTTTTAACGATTTATAAACAACGAGAAAATGCTTTTATTATGACCTAATTAATTTAATAGGAAAATTGTAACTTACCCTGGGAAAGCTTTCCTGATTAAGCCACAGCTACTGAAGTACAGCAACTACATTTATTTTTTTGTATCTTTTCCAAAATGTTTATTATAGTACTCTGCTTATAGTAGGGACTCAATGAACATTTAACAAAAACTGGCCAGTTTTGTTTTGTTTGGGCTGGGCACAGTGGCTCACACCTGTAATTCCAGCACTTTGGGAGGCCGAGGCAGGTGGATCACGAGGTCAGGAGATCAACACCATCCTGGCTAATACGGTGAAACTCCATCTCTACTAAAAATACAAAAAATTAGCCGGGCGTGGTGGTGGGCACCTGTAGTTCCAGCTACTTGGGAGGCTGAGGCAGGAGAATGGCATGAACCCGGGAGATGGAGCTTGTAGTGAGCCCAGGTCTCGCTCCACTGCACTCCAGCCTGGGCGACAAAGTGAAACTTGTCTCAAAAACAACAACAACAACAAAAGCTGGCCAGGCACAGTGGATTCCGCCTATAATCCCAGCACTTTGGGAGGCTGAGGCGGGCGGATCATTTGAGGTCAGGAGTTCAATACAAGCCTGACCAACATGGTAAAACCCAGTCTCTACTAAAAATACAAAAATTAGCCAGGCATGGTGGCTCATGCCTGTAGTCCCAGCTACTCGGGAGGCTGAGGCATGAGAATTGCTTGAATCCAGGAAGCAGAGGTTGCAGTGAGCTGAGACTGCACCACTGCACTCCAGCCTGGGTGACAAAATGAGACTCTGTCTCAAAAACAAAAACAAAAGCTTGCTGAAGAATTTTGTGGGTGGTGTTGCTTTATTTACATCCATGAAGGTTAGAGAATTGTAAAAAACACGGACGGGCGCGGTGGCTCACGCCTGTAATCCCAGCACTTTGGGAAGCCGAGACGGGTGGATCACAAGGTCAGGAGATCAAGACCATCCTGGCTGATAGGGTGAAACCCCATCTCTACTAAAAAAAAAATACAAAAAACTAGCCGGGAGAGGTGGCGGGCGCCTGTAGTCCCAGCTACTCAGGAGGCTGAGGCAGGAGAATGGTGTGAACCCGGAAGGAGGAGCTTGGGAGTGAGCTGAGATCTGGCCACTGCACTCTAGCCTGAGCGACAGAGCGAGACTCCGTCTCAAAAAAAAAAAAAAAAGAGAATTGCAAAAAACAAAATCCAGTGTAATGTTAGTGGGTATTATTTTATTTTATTTTATTTTTATTTATTTTTTGAGACTGAGTCTCACTCTGTCGCCCAGGCTGGAGTGCAGTGACCGGATCTCAGCTCACTGCAAGCTCTGCCTCCTGGGTTTACGCCATTCTCCTGCCTCAGCCTCCCAAGTAGCTGGGACTACAGGCGCCTGCCACCTGGCCCGGCTAGTTTTTTGTATTTTTTAGTAGAGACGGAGTTTCACCGTGTTAGCCAGGATGGTCTCGATCTCCTGACCTCGTGATCCGCCCGTCTCGGCCTCCCAAAGTGCTGGGATTACAGGCTTGAGCCACCGTGCCCGGCCTTGGGTATTATTTTAAAAGCACTTTGGTTGGTTTCAAACTCCTGACCTCAGGTGATCCGCCCACCTTGGCCTCCCAAAGTGCTGGGATTAAAGGTGTAAAGTCATCTCACGTGCCCTCAAAAAACCTTATTTAATCCTCAAGAAGCCACGAAGAAGCTATTATTTCTACCTTCCTGATGAGAAGGATAAGAACTACAGAGTTCAAATTCAGTTTAAAATAATTTAAGGGTAAGCCATTCTCCATTTTATAGGTGATGGCTATACTAAGAGATAAAACATGGGGGGGAAAAGTGAGAGGAGGAAAAAACCTCTCTGTAGCAAAAACAATTCAATAAATGGCTTTGGCTTTATTCAACCTTTGTCCTCCAAGAAACTGGCTCCTTAAGAATCAAAACACGTATCTCAAAAATATATATATACAAACGCCATCCTAACAAGTTATAACTCTCTTTGTTCTTCAGTAAACAAATATAAAATGTCTTCACTAAAATAAGCAAACATAGATTCAATGTTTCCACTGCAAAAACAAACTTTTAATCCTATTTCAGGACCAAAGAATCCTATTTAGTCTTATTAATACTAAGTAATTGTATTATTTCAGTGAAATAATCTGGCTCATTCTCAAAAACTGCAGAAACTCTTGGGAACTCTAGAGGTTCCTGTAAACTTCAGATGCACTGAAAATAGTATTTCCTCTCTCTAAGGAAAATGAGATTAATATGGTCAGGGCTAATCTGTTCCATGCTGTAATTACTAACATGAAAACTGGGGCCACACACCACATAATTATACCTCAATATCCCTCTGGAAATCAAATAGGTCAATTCGCTGCCAGTTACTGCCATCCAGAGCCAGAACATTCCAGGCCTATTTTAAAGAAAAAGAGAGAGAATGAGCAGAAGCTAAAATTAAGGGGAAAAGGCAGCAATATTCAAGTTCACAATTCAACCAACTAATGACTAAAATGGATCCAAAAATTTATCAGGCCCTACCCACTTACTCCCAAATGATGTATCTTACTCCTGACCCATACTGTATTCTCCAATTAGATAATCTCATAAATGAGTGGGTACTAGAAATTAGCAGCTACAAAAGATCTTAGGCCAGGCATGGTGACTCAAATTTATAATCCCATCACATTGGGAGGTCAAGGTGGAAGGATCACTTGAGCCCAGGAGTTCCAGACCAGCCTGGGCAATATAGCGAGACCCGATCCCTATAAAAGAAATTTAAAATGTCGGCCAGGCGTGGTGGCTCACGTCTGTAATCCCAGCACTTTGGGAGGCTGAGGCGGGCAGATCACCTGAGGTCAAGAGTTTGAGACCAGCCTGGCCAACATGGTGGAACCCCATCTCTACTAAAAGTACAAAAATTAGCCAGGTGTGGTGGCATGTGCCTATAATCTCAGCTACTCAGGAGGCCGAGGCAGGAGAATCACTTGAACCCGGGAGGCGGAGGTTGCACTGAGCCAAGATTGTGCTACTGTATTCCAGCCTGGGCAACAGAGCGAAACATCTCGGGGGCGGGGGGGGGGGATTTAAAAAATTAGTCAGGCGTAGTGGCACACACCTGCAGTCCCAGCTACTCGGGAGGCTGAGGTGGAAGGATCGCGTGAGCCTGGGAGGTAAGGGCTGCAGTGAGCCATGATCTCACCACTGTACTCCAGCCTGGGTGACAGAGCAAGACCTTGGCAAAAAACAAAAACAAGACTAACCCTCCCTCCCCCTGCCCACACACACTGAAATTAGAGAAGTTAAGGAAAGGGCAGGTTGTGATAAGTATCATGCCGCAAGGTGTTTTCTAACTGGAAAATTCTAGTTTCTAATACCAAAATGAGACAAAAGTTCGGTTGATGAAAAGCAAGTCTTTCTTCTATCCTTAAAAATATGATCCTTAAAAAAAATATCCTTCTATCTGGAAAAATATGAAGGTAAAACCAAACATCAAAGGGGACAGTACTCTGAATACTGCTCTATTCTCACTCTTTTTCTATATATAGAGTATATATAGAGATAAATATATGTATTTCTTGAGACAGGTTATCACTCGGTCACCTGGGATGGAGTGCAGTGGCTCAATCATGGGTCACTTGCAGCCTTGACCTCCCCAACTCAAGCAATCCTCTCACCTCAGCCTCCCAAGTAGCTGCAACCACAGGCACGCATCACCACACCTGGCTTTTTTTTTTTTTTGAGACGGAGTCTCGCTCTGTCGCCCAGGCTGGAGTGCAGTGATGCAATCTTGGCTCACTGCAAGCTCCGCCTCCTGGGTTCACATCATTCTCCTGTCTCAGCCTCCCAAGTAGCTGGGACTATAGGCACACGCCTCCAGCCTGGCTAATTTTTTGTATTTTTAGTAGAGATGGGGTTTCACTGTGTTAGGCAGGATGGTCTTGATCTCCCAACCTCATGATCCGCCCGCCTCGGCCTCCCAAAGTGCTGGTATTACAGGCGTGAGCCACTGCACCCAGTCTTAATTTTTAAAATTTTCTGTAGAGATAGGGCTCCCTATGTTGCCCAGGCTAGTCTTGAACTCCTGGCTTCAAGCAATCCTCCCATCTTGGCCCCTCAAAGTGAAGGGATTATAGGTGTGAGCCACCAGGCCCGGCCTTAGTTCAGTACTTCTTTGCTATCTATATCCTATCACCTGATAGGACTTACAACTGTGATACAGTGATTTGGGACTTAGAAAAGATACTATCATTTCTCTGAAACTTTGTATTTTATTATTTTTTTTGAGACAGAGTCTCGCTCTGTTGCCCAGGCTGGAGTGCAGTGGCACGATCTCGGCTCACTCCAAGCTCCGATTCTGCATTAACTGAATCTTACTAAACAGAATTACTGGTGAAGCAAATTTATCCATCGAGACTATCTGGTATGTGTTACGCATGTATTCTGTTGGTGCTGGAAGATGTCTGTGTGCCTATCAACATGCGACTTCATGTAAAGTTTCTTCATGTTCACAGTTCTTAGCAAATGCAGTTTCAATCCATAGACAGCCAGCAGTGGATGTTACTACAGGAAAATGCAGGATTAAAATGGTCCTTGTGTAGGCCAGGCGCTGTGGCTCACACCTGTAATCCCAGCACTTTGGGAGGCTGAGGTGGGCAGATCACGACGTCAGGAGATCAAGACCATCCTGGCTAACACAGTGAAACTCTGTCTCTACTAAAAATACAAAAAATTAGCCGGGTGTGGTGGTGGGCGCCTGTAGTCCCAGCTGCATGGAAGGCTGAGGCAGGAGAATGGCGTGAACCTGGGAGGTGGAGCTTGCAGTGAGCCAAGACTGCACCACTGCACTCCAGGATAAGCGACAGAGAGAGACTCCACCTCAAAACAAAAAAACAAAAAAACAAAAAAACTGTCCTTGTGTAAAAAATAAATAAATAAATAAATAATGAACTCGGGAAACATAATAAAACAAGATTTCATCACAATTTTGAGTCAAGTCTAAACTTTCAATATGCATGTTTATTGCTTTTTCATCGAAAATGTTTCCTGTTTATATTATGCAAATAAGAGATACAAAAAGTCAGAGACAGTATATATAGTAGAATCCCATCATAAATTTAGATGGGCTTGCGTATGTCATTGGTGAAATAATATCCTTTAAAACATGAAAACATACAAGTAACACCTAAATAGGTGGCCTATGAAAGACACTGTTATTATCAGTACGAAGAAGGGGTCCCCGTGTAACTATGTCAACCATACTTACCCTGGAGACCTGAGCACAGCGGCACAGGGTAACAACATCTAGAAAAGAAAATATCCTAAAAAGAAAAGAGAGAAAGACAACTTTTATTGTATGATAAAGTAGTTGACCTTAATTTTTTTTTTTTTTTTTTTGAGACGGAGTCTTGCTCTATAGCCCGGGCTGGAGTGCAGTGGCCGGATCTCAGCTCACTGCAAGCTCCGCCTCCCAGGTTTACGCCATTCTCCTGCCTCAGCCTCCGGAGTAGCTGGGACTACAGGCGCCCGCCACCTCGCCCGGCTAGTTTTTTGTATTTTTAGTAGAGACAGGGTTTCACGGTGTTAGCCAGGATGGTCTCGATCTCCTGACCTCGTGATCCGCCCGTCTCGGCCTCCCAAAGTGCTGGGATTACAGGCTTGAGCCACCGCGCCCGGCCTAGTTGACCTTTATTTATTTTGAGACAGGGTCTCACTCTGTCAGCCAGGCTGGAGAGCAGTGGCATAACCACTGCTCACTCCAGCCTCGACTTCCTGGGGTCAGGTGATCTTCCCACGTCAGGCTCCTGAGTAGCTAGGACTACAGGCGCCTGCCACCATACCTGGCTAATTTTTAATTTTTTGTAGAGACGGGGTTTCACCATGTTGCCCAGGTTGGTCTCGAACTCTTGGGCTCAAGCAATCAGCCTCCCAAATTGCAAGGATTACAAGTATGAACTACTGCATCCGGCCAGTATCATAAAGTAGTTGCTCTTGTTTTTAGCATAGAAATAACTGACTACATGTATATACACACACAAACACAAAGGCAGTTCTTTAGAACACACACACAAAATGCTTGAGCAATCTGTGAAGATAATACTGCCCATATAAAACACAGCGGGAAAAAATGTTTTACTTGATAATGTACATACAGACGCTGACCAAGTTCAATTACCTACACCAAAGGATAATAAATAATTTCTAGCTGGTTTTTTTTAAATACAAAAAAAAACTTCCCACCTAAAATTATCAAAAGAAAGAAGCTAGGGGAAGGATCTTTCTTTTGTTTTGAGACAGGGTTTCACTCTGTCACGCAGGCTGGAATGCAGTGGCACAATCACAGCTCACTGCAGCCTTGACCTGGGCCCAAGCAATCCTCCCACCTCAGCCTCCCAAGTAGCTGGAACAAGAGGCACATGCCACCAAGTCCAGGTAATTTTTAAAATTTTTTTGTAGAGATGAGGGTCTCCCTATGTTGCGCAGACTGGTTTTGAACTCCTGAGCTCAAGCAATCCTCCTGCCTCAGACTACCAAAGTGCTAGGATTGTATGTATGAGCTACCATGCTTGGATGGGCAGGATTTTTTTTATTTGAAACAAGGTCTCACTCCTGTCGCCCAGGTTGGAATGCAGTGGTGCAGTCATCATTCACTCCAGCCTCAATCCCCCAGGCTCAGGTGATTCTCCCACCTCGCCTCCCAAATAGCTGGGAGTACAGGCGCATGCCACCATGCTCAGCTAATTTTTGTTGTTGTTGTTGTTCTTTTTTTTTTTTTTTTTTGAGACAGAGTCTCACCTGGTTGTCCAGGCTGGAGTGCAGTGGCATGATCTCGGTTCAAGTGATTGTCGTGCCTCAGCCTACCAACTAGCTGGGATTACAGGTGCCTGCCACCACGCCTGGCTAATTTTTGTATTTTTAGTAGAGATGGGGCTTCACCATGTTGGGCAGGCTGGTCTCAAACTCCTGATGTCAGGTGATCCGCCCTATCTCAGCCTCCCAAAGTGCTGGGATTACAGGCGAGAGCCACCACACCCAGCCCCTGATGGGAGGGATCTTAATGAAGTATTTTACAGTCATGAAGGAAAAAAGATAATTTAATAAAGCCTAAAAAGCAGCAATGAAAAATGTTAAATGTCTAGAAAAAAAAAAAAACCCAGAAACAAAATAAAATATAAATTAAAAAAAGATCTCTACATTATTTCATTCTAATTTAATAAATTACAAAACTCTTTTAACACAGCAATGTTAGAAAATATTTACTGTCTAGAATTTTTCTCAGTCTTATAGAAGGTAAATAAATACTTATTTCGAAGTAGACCAGTAAGTTAATTTGCTTAAAGCCTGATAAACCACACCATAAGCTACCTGTGAAAATAGGCCAGGGAATCCTGGAAATAAAAGTGAATGGGAGATCAGGCAAGGTGGCTCATGCCTATAATCCCACATCTTTGGAAAACTGCTAGAGGCCAGGAGTTCAAGACCAGCCTGGGCAACACAGTGAGGCTCCCTGTTTTAAAAAAGAAAATAAAAAACATAGCTTTGGCTAGGCATGATGGCTAAAGCCTGTAATTCCACCATTTTGGGATGGAAGGGCAGGAGGATAACTTGAGGCCAAGAGTTTGAGACCAGCCTGGAAAATACAGTGAGACTCTGTCTCTACAAAAATTTTAAAAATTAAGCTGGGAACAGTGGCTCACAGCTGTAATCCCAGCACTTTGGGAGGCTGAGGTGGGTGAGTCATCTGAGGTCAGGAGTTCAAGACCAGCCTGACCAACATGGTGAAACTCCGTCTCTACTAAAAATACAAAATTAGCCACGCGTGGTGGTGGGAGCGTCTGTAATCCCAGCTACTCGGGAGGCTGAGACAGAAGATTCACTTGAACCTGGGACATGGAGGTTGCAGTGAGCTGAGATCATGCCCTTGTGCTCCAGCCTGGGAGACAAGAGTGAGACTCTGTCTCAAAAAACAAAGTAGCCAGGCATGCTGGTATATGCCTGTAGTTCCAGCTACTTGGGAAACTGATGTAGGAGGATCTATTGTGTTCAGTTTGAGGCTGCAGTAAGCTACAATCATAGCACTGCACTCCAGCCTGGGTGACAGAGTGAGTTCTTTTTTCTTTTTTTTAAGATGGAGTTTCGTGGCCGGGCGCGGTGGCTCAAGCCTGTAATCCCAGCACTCTGGGAGGCCGAGGCGGGCGGATCACGAGGTCAGGAGATCGAGACCATCCTGGCTAACACGGTGAAACCCCGTCTCTACTAAAAAAAATACAAAAAAACTAGCCGGGCGAGGTGGCGGGCGCCTGTAGTCCCAGCTATTCGGGAGGCTGAGGCAGGAGAATGGCGTAAACCCGGGAGGCAGAGCTTGCAGTGAGCTGAGATCCGGCCACTGCACTCCAGCCCGGGCGACAGAGCGAGACTCCGTCTCAAAAACAACAACAACAACAACAACAAAAAAAAAAAAAAAAAAAAAAAGATGGAGTTTCGCTCTGTCGCCCAGGCTGGAGTGCAGTGGCACAATCTCGGCTCACTGCAACCTCAGCCTCCTGCGTTCACACGATTTGCCTGCCTCAGCCTCCAGAGCAGCTGGGATTACAGGCACCTCACCAACACACCCAGCTTTAAAACAAAAGTTTTAAATTTTGATGTTATCCACTTTATCTATTTTTTCTTTCGTTTCCTCAACTTTTGGTGTCAAATCCAATAAATCACTGCTAAACTCAATGTCATGAAGTTGTTCTGCTTTCTTCCAAAGATTTTATAATTTTAGTTCTCAGATACAGGTCTTTGCAAGACCATTTATTGAAAAGACTATACTTTTCCCCACTGAATGGTCCTGGCATCTTTGTCAAAAATCATTTGACCATATATATGAAGGTTTATTTCTGAGCTCTCTATTCTATTCCATTGGTCTTTGTCTGCTTTATGCCAGTATCACACTATTTTTAAATATTTTCAGTTTTGAAGCAGAAAGTGCTTTTGGTGATTGAAATATTTGCATGATGTCAGAAAAACTATTAATAGCAACTGAACTGGTTTCAAGAATCTTTCCTTATGTTTTCTTACACATTTACTTCCTCTAACAGATTTCTGATATTTTGATTTCTCTCCAACTATAGAGGCCCATGTAAGGGACTATTTAAAACAGATAATAAGTTAAATAAGCTGGGAGGGTTAAGCAAGGAGCAACATGGAAAGCAAATACAACTGATCTATATCCTGCAATCTCAGCAAGACACCAGCAAGGGACAGGAAAACCCCCGAATAAAAGCCCAGAGAACAATTATAGTGAATAATGTCTAGAGAATCTGCCTTCTCTAAGGAGAACCAGATACTTGGATAGAAAGGGGGGAAACATCTAGTTAAAATGATGAGCAATCTCTGAAACTGTGGTTATAATTTTTCAGCTTGCCTGAAATGAAAGAAAAGCATTCTGATTTGGAGGTTGTTGAGTTTCATTCGAAAAACATTTTTACCACCTGCCACCTACAGGCACTTAAGTCCCTACTGTTAAGTAGCTCATGGCATAGGGGCTGGAGGTAGATATAAAATAAGTAAAATATATGTGAAAATTTCAATTAGCGATGAGTACTATAACAAAGCTGAGTAATGAAATAGAAGAGTGGTCAAGGAAAGCCTCCCCTAGGGGTAGGCATTTGATTTCGAATCTAAATGATCAAAGGAAAACAGATTGCCAAGATCTGGGGAGAAGAGCATTCCAGTAGACGAAATAGTGGGTGTATGACAAAGGCCTGTTTGAAGATCAGAAGAGACAGTGAAGTTGGACTGCAGCAGCAGCACAACCCTATACTGAGTTCTTAATTATGTACCAGGCGTCATTCTAAGTGCGTAAATTTACATACTAATCCAATGACTCCCTAAAAAACAATTCTATAAGATCGGTACTATTAGCATTCTCATCTTATAGATGAGGATATTGAGCAAAGTTGTTAGTCAAGGGTCAAAATATGATTTAAAAAAAAAAAAGACTGGGCGCGGTGGCTCACACTTGTAATCCCCAGCACTTTGGGAGGCCAAGGTGGGTGGATCACCTGAGGTCAGGAGTTTAAGACTAGCCTGGCCAACATGGTGAAACTCCATCTCTACTAATAATACAAAAATTAGCCAAGCATGGTGGTGTGTGCCTGTAATCCTAGCTACTTGGGAGGCTGAGGCAGGAGAATCGTTAGAACCTGGAAGGCAGAAGTTGCAGTGGGCTGAGACTGCTCCACTGCACTCCAACCTGAGTGACAGAGTAAGACACCATTAAAAAAAAAAAAAAGTTAAAAGGCTTTGTGGACATAATAAATGATTTCAACTGTAT